CACACCCCGCCCCCCCCCAGCCCGGGGGGGCTCCCCCGCACGGGGCAGGCGACCGGGCTCCACTTCCCTTCTCACCCAAGCCCAGGTTCGAGGTCTTCACCACCCTGAACACCACCTACGAAAATGTCCTGGTGCACGAGGCACCTATAGTACCCAAGTCCTCACTCTCCAACTCTTCCCCACTGAAAGCATGGGGACTTCGGGAGCTTTGACTTTCTCTTTCAGAATGATCAGACATCTACAAACACAAAAAGGGAAACTAAGGGGCATGCGAAGATTGAAAACAGGAGCCTAGGCATGTTCTTAGTATGTTCATGACAGTTCATCTACGTTCATATCACATTCATGCAAAACTCAAACAAAAGAGGCATTTCAATCCAGAGGGGGAGAATGAGCACAAGGCATACCTTGTTATCTCCACCGTCCACAGTCGCCGGAAATCACCTGGCTCACAAGGGTACCTTCTCAAAGCCTCGCCGGAAATCGCTCCGCCGTCCTTGAACTCTCTCGGAAATCGCCCTTGCTCGTCTACTAAAATCTTTCGAAAAACTCAAGTGCTCATTCCTTCAGCCTTCCACAACCTTTTAAAGGCATACGAGGGACCCTTCGATTCTTGCTCCAAGCAATAACTCATCATACCGTTGGGACGCCTCGATTTCCACGCTCAAACGTTTCTATACCACTGTCACATCTTCCCTTCGGAAGGCATGATGACGTCACACCTTCCCTTCGGAAGGCATGATGACGTCACACCTTCCCTTTGGAAGGCTCCCTTCCGAAGCTTGGAAGGACCCCTCGCGACACGCGATGCGCGAGAGAAGGCAACCCTCCGAAGCATGGAAGAAGACCTCGCGGTAACGTCACACCTTCCCTTCGGAAGGCATGATGACGTCACACCTTCCCTTCGGAAAGCTCCCTTCCGAAGCTTGGAAGAACCCCTCGCGACACGCGATGACGTCACACCTTCCCTTTGGAAGGCTCCCTTCCGAAGGACCCCTCGCGACACGCGATGACGTCACGCCTTCCCTTCGGAAGGCTCCCTTCCGAAGCTTGGAAGGACCCCTCGCGACACGCGATGACGTCACACCTTCCCTTTAGAAGGCTCCCTTCCGAAGCTGGAAAGGACCGCTCGCGACACGCGATGACGTCACACCTTCCCTTCGGAAGGCATGATGACGTCACAC